AAATATTTCGAAATTTTCAAAATTGGATACATCTAGCGGCCACAATAAAAAGTTAAAAATCGATGATTTTGACAGGAAGCGGAAATCATTTGCTCAGATACGTTTCTAAGGAAGTTGAAATCCGAACCATTCGAAGCCTTGGGTGAGCAYGTTTTTTCACACCTTTGTACATTCCAGTCRTACGATCAAAATGGCAGACGCTGAAAYACTTCGTGAAGCTGCATTTCTCGAGTTTTCGTCAGAATTTACAAATGTTGGGTAAGTACTAAGTCTARGRGATGTTTAGTTTGAGTTTTGTACGAATTTAACCACTCGTTGTCAATGCTTCTTTAGGCTACACTGCCCCGAAAAACTTACAAGAATGTTACGCAAGTACGTGTTGAGAACTGGAGAATCGTCCGAACAAATGCGAAGCCGAATTTACCGTCGTATTTGGGCCATTTTGTGGGTAAGGAACTTATAAATATTGTTTAAATAGTTTGCCATTTTTTCATATTCGTTCAGCAATCAATCTGTTTGCGTGCAGGCGCACAGCTAAGATACTTTGGTGTTTCAATCAATAATATAACTCTTGCATTTTTTTACATGCAGTACGGAAACAAAGTAGGCAAGGGAAAATGGTCAGGGTCCAAAGATAAACCAACTTACGTTTTTCCCGATTGCCTCAAGAAAGTTGTAAGGGCCGTCATACCAGGAGATATTGTGGATTCTCGCGACCCAACAGGAGTCAACGTAAGATTTACTCTGTATATTACTTATTCTTTGCTCTGTATAGTACTTAATCTTTGCTCTGTATAGTACTTAATCTTTGCTCTGTATAGTACTTAATCTTTGCTCTGTATAGTACTTATTCTTTGCTCTGTATATTACTTCTTTTTAACTCTCAACATTGTAAACATTGTAAACATTGCACATGCAAGAAACTAGTTCAGGGAACTTTTATTCTTATCTTGTGCCATAGAGAACGATTCTGCATTTTCTATGCTGCAATTCATTTTGATGTCACCATGTTTTTGGAATATAACATGGTGCGTCTTCTAATTTACTTTTTCTTTGTGTAGGTATACAGTGTAACCATGGAAGACTTATCCTCTGCCAAGTGGCCCTAATTCTATATCAATCAAAATAAAAATCAAGAAATACCTTGCATGTTAATGTTTACCTTATAGATATTTTCCTTATGTGAATCTAGAGACTTCATAAGTGCACATGAAATCATTTTATTTTAAAATTTCATTTCATTCTATT